ATGCACCAAAATCAGTAAAATTTACATCAATTTTAAAGCAAATCTGTGCCATTTTTGTATTTTTTAAAATTACTTTACGGAGAAAAAAAATAATAAACAATAAAGAATTAAATATTTATTCCATTGATTTCTTACAAAATAAGTTCTATCCGTTGATGTACAAAAAAACTTATTATATCATCTACTAAATAATTTCTCAAAGTATATTTACAACATGCTGTGTCCATCTTGTGAAGTTGGAAGTCGCAATCGTTTACTAAAATTAAAACCGTAACCGTATCAAAGTTTAAAATACGGAACAGTTTTCACAATCACAATTGTAATCTTTTTTTTTTTCTTTTTTTTTTTTTACCATTTATTTGTAATGATTAATTGAAATGGCATACATAAATATTTTTTCATTGTCTTGTGATAATTATTTTAATGTAAAATGTGCGAAATAAATTGTTGCCAGTAAATTCCTAAAATTATTTACCAAATATACCGCTATAGTCATAACTATTTTGTTTTATATCCCAAAGGGTACACTGAATTATACAAAGATTGGCTTCTAATAGAATTTTAATTGTCTGACAGATAAAGGGATATATGCTGTGTACACAAAGGTGTTAGCACCTGTGTTGGTTTAAACACTGTGGGGCATGATTAACAGATCCACGTACCGTTACAGGGGTATTAGTGCTATACATCATTGAACAAACAAAACTGTGAAATTCCTGATGACTGTTAAATTGCGAATGTACTCTCAATTTTATTTTTTACAACAACATCTCAAGCAAAATTATAGCATGTTAATATGATTAATTTCAATTGCTCACTTTACATGTAATAGTCATTTGCATGTTTTAGCAAACCCCGGACAAGAAATATAAAAATGGCGGTCATCGAAGTTAATATTGTACCCCGGTAAATAATGTCGGAATAAAAGAATTTGTCCACGATGTTCTAAAATGGAAATGATTATTGTTTGATTTCGGGTTTTTCCCTTATCATAGCTGTTGTATACTAACGTATTTATGTGTTTAACGACAGAGTCAAACTACGACGACATTGAACAGGCAATTTGGAGAAAATATGTTATATCACAATTCAAGGAAGTTTTAACTATGTTTGTATAAAACACTATTGAAATGCTGTACTCATTAAAATACCAGTTTATTTTCTCAATACGTTAATATCATGGGTTAAGTTAAAGAGGTTTACATGTTCTGATACGTAGTATCTACGTAAGAATCCCTAGAAAATCGATAAACAAAGCCTCGTCCTACCTTCCGAATCGTCCTATCTAAGGATTTTTTTAAAATTACTGCTGAAAATGAGCCTTTCGACCTATATACCCCATTGATATATACCCCAAAAATTACGGTACATAGAATCCACTTTACTTTTTTTTTTTTTTACTTTTTTTTTGAGGGGGGGGGGGCTGTCAGGTGAATGAATCCTAAACTTGAACTTGTTAATGAGTATTAAAAAGAGAAAGAGAGAGAGAGAGAGAGAGAGAGGAAAAGAAACAAGAGGCCCATGGGCCACATCGCTCACCTGAGCACAATGGCTTGACAAAAGCACAATTCAGTTCAGTATTGAAAAGATTACGGGGGGGGGGGGGGGGGGCTTGAATTTTAAACTACCTGATGCTTCCATGTCAATATAACAAATGGCTTTGTTGTACTTGAGAAGATTTTTAAAAAAATTTCCCATATATTCATTTGTAAAAATTTGATCTCCCATTATGGCTCCTCCCTATCCTAAGGGTGATCATTTGAACAAACTTGAATCTACACTACCTGAGGATGTTTCCATATCAATATGACTAAACATAGCTTTTCTGTTCTTGAGAAGAAATATTTTTCCTTTATGTTCTTATGTAAAATTTGGGTCTGTCTGTCCATCCATCCATTTGTCCGTCCGTCTGTATTTCTGTCTGTCTGTAACGCTTTCGTTTCCACACAATATCTCGAGAACCCTTTGAGCTTTCGCAATGAAATTTTGCATAGCAACTCCCTAAGGCCTAAAAAAGAACTCTATTGATTTTGAGGTCCAAAGGTCAAGGTCATAAATTCATAAATTCTGTCTGTTTTAACACTTTCGTTTCCACGCGATATCTCGAGAATCCTTTGAGCTTTTGCAATGAAATTTTACATAACAACTCCCTGTGGCCTAAGAAAGACCTCTATTGATTTTGAGGTCAAAAGGTCACAGTTCAAGGTCGTAAATTTATACATTCCGTCTGTGTGTAACACTTTTGTTTCCGAGCAATATCTCAAGAAGCCTTCGAGCTTTTGCAATGAAATTTTATACCATAACTCCCTAGGGCCTCTCTCGCCCCTCTCAAAGTGTCCCACCCCGTTTTTTAATTATTATTTACATGTATGTTGCATGGCACTATTTTTAGCACTGGGGCTTGTGGAGAGTTATTACGTATAATACAGGTTGTCGGCGGACATAATATTCTTATTACATCTATTAGAACTGTTTAGTAAAGGCTAAATAAGACACCATGTATTGATTAAAATTTTGACAATATCAAATGTCAATATAAACATTATATGTGAGTTAATGCTTGAATTTAATCTGCTGTATAATCAAGTGTCTCCGTGGTATAGTGGCACGTTGCTCGCTTAGCAAGCGAGAGGTACGGGTTCAATCCCCAAACGATTCTCTTTTTTTTTATTTTAATTTACTAAATGATACTATTCAACATGTGATATGTAAAAGCTATGTCTGGCGTGTACAAACTCATAAAATCATTAATACAGTGTGATAAATTAAATATTCTGTATATTAAAAATACTCTTCAGGGGTCACACTGCCCCCTGTATTTGTAGAATTATTAAACGTATACATGTATATTGAAGCAAATTTTAAAAAATGCCAATATGGATATAAAGATTTCATTGCTTATTTAAAAATAATCTTCTATACACATATACACAGAATAAGCAATGAAATCTCTAATCCATATTGGCATTTTTTAAAATTTGCTTCAATATACATGTATACATTTAATAATTCTACAAATACAGGGGGCAGATGACCCCCGCCCTACCCCCAGGGGTCATCATTTGAACAAACTTGAATCTACACTACCCGAGGATGCTTCCATATAAATATGACTAATCATGGCTTTGCTGTTCTTGAGAAGAAGATTTTTAAAGGTTTTTTTCCCATATATTTCTATGTAAAACTTTGATCCTCCATTGTGGCCCCGCCCTATCCCCGGGGGTCATGATTTGCATGAACAAACTTGAATCTACACTACCTGAGGATGCTTCCACATGAGTTTCATCTTTCCTGGCCCTGTGGTTCTTGAGAAGATTTTTAAAAGATGCTATTAATTTTTCACTAATTCTTTATTATCCCCCTTTGAAAGAGGGCGTGGCCCTTCATTCGAACAAACTTGAATCCCCTTCACCCAAGGATACTTTGTGGCAAGTTTGATTGAAATTGGCCCAGTAGTTCTGGAGAAGAAGATGAAATTGTGAAAAGTTTATAACGATGCCGATGACACCGGCGACAAGGATGACGGACAAATTTTGATCAGAAAAGCTCACTTGAGCCTTCTGCTCAGGTGAGCTAAAAAGAAACCATTATGCTATGAATAAACCAAATTGCAAACAATTTAATAGCTGCACCAGTGTATACATTTACAAGGCTCTTTCAAAATACATTACCGATCCCTTTTAATAGCCTAAAAATACATGTAACTTAATCAGCTGTCAAGATGCTAAAATATTTTTCAGATACATAATAAACATCTACATGTATAAGCCCCTGACTTGACTGTAATCAATGAATACAACACAATCATCCCCGCTTCTTTTTTTACCAACAGTTGCCAAATGGGGCATTAAAATATTTGTTCTGACTAATGTTTTAGAGCAATAATGACCTGGCCACCATTAGTTTGAGGGATGTAAATACAATAGATTTCAAGAGATGTATAAATTTGTGCTGCATGTCATGGCAGTTTGTGTCTGTTTCTTCAAATCAACTGTCAAATTCTCATGGATGCTGGGCATCTGAGGAGTTTTCTTCTGTTAATATGGAACTCTGATTACTTGGAATAAAGCTGTTATCACATATGCATTAAGTAGCCATATTTTATAGAGTTTATGTTATTGCTGAAGTAATTTAAGAATTATATTGCCAAAAGATTTTCCTGAAAGAAAATGCTTGCTTAATGACCAGAATACATATATATTCTCATTCCTCCCATATCATACTTTAAGTCAAAATTCATTTTTTAAAACTCTTAAATAGTTTTTATATGAATAATTTCAGATATTAAATAGTTAATTTAGTTGAGAATAGTTTAGAATAGTTACATGTAATTTCTGAGAAAAAGGGTTTGTTTACAGTCAATCAAGAAATACAGTTGAACTTCGGTATCTCGAACATGCCGATATCTCATACACCATGTACATGTATATGTCAATCCTAAACACGAATTTCTTAAGTATTTTACCCTCGATATCTCGAACCCTCAGATATCTCGAAGTTTTTTCGCAGTCCCATCGAATTCAAGATAACAAGGTTTGACTTTATATGCATTGTTTTAAGAATTTGAAATTCACAATTTAAGGGGCATTTGTTTTATACCATCATGCAAAATTAACAACACCACTTCCTGTAATGATTTTTGATCTGGTGTAATCATGTGCATGTGTGCATGTTTAACTTATGAATAATGTGTATAGATAGCATACATTGTCTCTGCAACGAACCATTAGACAGGTTTAAGATAATGCATAAACATTCCAATTCTTGCATCTTTTAGTCTGGAGCAAAATGTCGTATCCCATATTTACTTGAATTGAATGAAGTCCCCCACTGGATTGGGGAAAATGAAAGAAGGGTTTTTATTTTCGAGTACACTATACCTTGGCCGTTTACCTTTTATAAATATATGTACATGTAGTTTATCAGGAGCTTTACAGATCCAACAGCAAAGAACACTTTTCCTGATTAATTTGTATAAAACACAATGTTGTCGGACTTACCTCGACAGATCCCTTTTTCGCTGCCTGTAATCAGTCCCCCGACCTCAGAAGTCAGGGCACACTCCAGCCCATCCCCACACTTGCCTAGAATTTCAAAAGGTCCCCCACATGTCTCGTTGACGTTTTTGCCACACACTTGACAACACCCGCATACATCTAGAATCGTGCCCCGGGGACAATCTCTTGGGGGATGGGGACACATGCTTGGGTTACATGGGGTACACTTTAATGCAGTGACGCCTGCATAACTTACGCACATGAGACACAGCGCCAACACACTTTTAACAATTCCATCCCAAAGCAGACGATAGTCACCAGTACCCCTTAGCGGCGAAGAGCACATCCCGACTCTTCATTTAGAAATTTTAGATTAGAGAAATATTTCTTCTTTCTTTCTCTATCCGGCCCACAACACCATAAATATACTATCCACGTAATGAAGCAAAATGGTCATTTTGTCGTCATTTAACATTACAAACTGAATTCGATTCCACCCAATACCGTCTGCTTGTGTTGACTTCCGCCAAAAACAGTCCAAGCACCACCAGTAGGCGGGACAACCTGCCACAGGTGGAAATCAAGGTAACTTGGCTGACCAATCAGTGATCGAGTACCTATTCGATTCGAAGTACGCAGTTACTCATTCATAAAACTTTTTCATTCATAAATTTTGGGTGTGTTCCCCGAACGGCTACTCGCCAAAAACAACAAGTAATTATCCAGGTCTGGACGATTTCCAAATATGGAAGTCAAGAACGATAACCGTAAATTACTTTAAATACACAGAATAAACAAGGTGCTAATCCTTCTGACCAATCAGATAACGGCATTTAGACATACCCATGAGAAAATAAATAAAACACGTGGTTTTAAAGTTTTTTTGCTCAAAAGATTTTTTTAGAACAAACTTTTTGTAAACTTTATGCACATATAGGAATAATATAGTATATTTGACAATTCTACCGTGAACAAACACGACTTCAAAGCTTAATATAAATTCTAAGTGGGATTAAATATCTGTCACTACGAGGTAGCAATCCCAAAAATTTAACTTGTGTTAAGAAATTTGATATAAATACGGCAGATTTTCAGTTTTTAGAGCCTGACATGAAAAAGTTTTCGTATGGGAATATAACAGTCTTCATTATTTCTTGAATATTTATAACAAAATCGTCCATGCAGTTTCTGATATGCGAGATACATGTAAGATATGGTGACAAAAAGCATTCATGAACATTCCTTTTTCTCCATGTTTTCCATCTTTCCTTATGTGCATTTAAAATGGTATTCGGCGCTCATGAAACCCGTGTTATTTTAAAAGTACATGTAGTTTATACGATGAATACCAGTGGCGGATCCAGAAGTCCATGTGGGGGGGGGGGGTTTGAGGCCGGTGGACCCGAGGGGGGAGGGCATGGAAGGGGGTGTCCCCCTCCCATAGGTGGGGGTTCGGGGGGCCTCCCCCGAGAAATTTTCTTTAAATATGGCTCCAAATGATGCATTTTCTAGCATTTTAGATTGAATTAGTTACTTTTGGCCACTTTTTTTTCTAGTTGTTTTTCAAGACCAACCTACCCAAATTTTCAAGAAATTGAACAAAAAAAAAATAAATAAATAAAATAAAATAAAATAAAATAAAATAAAAATAAAATAAAATTTTGGGAATATTTTTAACTTCCATGTTAACTTGAAAAATGAGACTTTTCTAAAGAAAAAATTAAATTTAAATCTGATAAAATTAGAAATATCGCCATTTGATATATAATATCCAATTCTTCATTTTAAAATGCACGTCCAACACGCTTTATCTACCAAAATACAACTGCATGATGTGCAATTTTCCAACATTTACAAAATTCGAATTCTGTGTAGAAACCCTAATTACTTTTTTCAACTACTTGACTATACTGTTCATATAATTTGCAGTATATAAACAAATAATGATATTTCATATTGAAGAATGAATATAAATTATTGTGGGAAATTGTTGGAATTATTGCTTATTCATTATAGTGGGGGGGGGTTTAATTATGATTTCTAACATAAATGCACTCTTTAAATCTTTTTTTTTTTACCCACTTACCTGTTTTGAAAAAAAAGTCTTGAAAAACTTCAATAAAAAAGTGACCAATTTTTGTTTTTGACAGGACCTCTAATTTATACGTATCAGTTTTACCACAATTCATTATACAAAGTTGTAGCCATTATTTGGGTTTTATTCAACATCATTCAACTGTAATTAAAAAAATGCTTTTTAAAATTGCATTGTAACTTCCATCAACAAAAGGAATACTTTCAATGTGCTTTTTGGTACAGGTCACAACGTAAACAACTAGACAGTATATATATGTCCCTGATGTATTAATTAATTTTTTTTTCTAAATAATAATCACAGTTTATTCACGTAGTTCAATAACGTAACATTCAGTTATCGAAGAAAGAAGAAAATTCTCGAAACAATATTACTTCAGCAATACCAAAACAAAACCGTAATAACTAAGTGCAGTTTTGGTTGTTGTGTATGACGTTGTGTCTTCACTAGCTGCACGGACTATCATGAACTCTGTACTGTTGATTACCCCTGTGTACTGTGTGCGCTCAAGCGGAAAGGGATTTCGCATGGTGGCTGTATATTTCACCTCTTTGTGTACAACAATGGGTTGGATAGAGTCGCATTTATGCAATATATTGTTAAAATGACACTTGTAAAAATTTTGTTTTGATCGGGCGGGGGGGGGGGGGGGTTTCCCGAACCCCCCCCCCAAACCCCCCTGAACCCGCCACTGAATACTTGTATGCAGTAGATCTATACGTACACATGGAAACTCCGCGTTATCGATGAAAATCGGACGGCTAAGCAAATTTATATTTACCAACATAAGAGAATGTTCTGCTAATTGTTATAAATGTACTTGATAATAGCTTGTCGATGTGATCTATTCCTCCGTAAACGATCGCATAGTTACATGTATTAATTTTTTTTCTTTTCCGAGATGAAAATGTCAGATTTGTTCACGGTAAATATGTGGGGAATACCTTATTCTTCCAAACTTTTCATCTTACTTCTAAAGATTTTTTATCAAAAAAATCTTTTTGAGGACAAAAACAAAAGCACGTGTTCTCTTTTTGTTCCTATGAACTATGTTTTGGGATGTGTAAAAATGCTATTGTCTGATTGGGCAGAAAACTATTTACGTGTATATGATGTATATTTATAGCAACTTTCAGTTATCGTTCTTGACTTCCATATTTAGAAATCGTCCAGACCTGTTATCACACTCAATTAAGGGGCCCTCTAAGGGGTACTGGTAGATTTACCTGTGTTTACCTGGATAACCAGTATTTGATAAATAAGGATATGAAATTTCATTTTTTTCATTAAAAAATACATAAAAAGCCCCAAGATCTGATAAATAAATTTAAACGAAAAATTTCAAAATATTATTAAAACATATTTTATACATTGCTTTGTATTATTGCACCTTTAATATTGTACCTTTAATAATATTTTTTTTTCAAACTGTTAAATCCTATTGTTGTTACTTTTTTTTAATACATTACCTTATCTCCTTGACTTAATGACCACAAGAAAAAAGTGTGTGTGTGTGTGTGTGTGTGTGTTTTGGGGGGGGGGGGGGGAGCAGCCTGGTATTTCCAATTTCCTGTGGTGTCATATGTTTTTGCCAAAACTGTTATCAATTAATTATTCTTAATTTTTACCCAATAGAAATGCATCTTTTGGAAGAATGCTTTTCAATTGGCGTAAGAAAAAAAATTAGAAAAATAATTTTAAAAATGAATACTTTCTTTATTTAATCAACAATTCACTCTTTAAAAATGTTGCTTAGGGCAAGAAATCTTTCTCATGTATTTTCATTCAGACATTTTATTTATTGTATTTCTAAATGTAAAATGGTTCCTTGATATTCACAGTTCAAACATATTTTTAAAAGTAACAGTTATTTTGGACCTAGCATCGGAACATATTTGGAAAGTGACAATTATTTTGGAACTTTCAGCATCCGAATTATTCAGTTGAACTAGTTTTAATATATTTTTTTTATTATGTTTACTAAAAATGTACAATTTTTTTATGCTGAACATACACTTTTGTTTTTTATGTCAAGTACTGTATGTCTTAGAAAAAAAATATGGCAATTTATATATCTTTTGCGGTTATCGATTAATTTAAACTATATTCAGTGAAAATTAAAAAAAAATAGTGCAGTTTTTCTACTTTAAAACCCATAAATTATGAGGGTTGAAATACCTTAACTGTATACCCTTAGATAGAAATAGAAATTATTTAACAGCAAAAAAAAAAAAAATAATAATAAAATAATAATAATAATAAAAATAAATAAAATAGATAAATTAAATTAAAAATAAAAAAAAAAAAAAACATTTTACATGATATATTGAATTAAAAATTAAAAATGATTGTTCTGTTTATATGCATTTGAAATTCAGGTAATTTATTCATACAGGTAAATCTACCTGTACCCCTTAGAGGGACCCTTAATTGGGTGTGATAATTAGATGTTGATTTTGGCGAGTAGCCGTTCGGGGAATAAGCCAAATTTTGCGTATGAGTAGTTTGTGTGCACGTTCAGAAAAAAACCACCTGTGCCACAGGGCCGATTTTGGGCCGATCACATAGTTGCGTAGAGTGCCACGGGGCCGATTTTGGAACTGAATTGTGACCATGTAGTTCTTTTACTTTTATTCAACTTAAATAAATGTTAAACCTTTGCACCTTTTTATTGCATAACATTAAAGTTTTTCATGACTTATTTGTAGAATATCATGAAAATTTCAGGCAAATATATGGATAAACGAAATAAAATTCATACCACTGATGACTCCATGAAATTTTTTCAAATAAACGAGTTGTTATTCATAATTATTACTATTGATTATGCTCAATGAAATGTATATTGTACACGATTACATTTCAAATGTATTTTTTCATACTATTATAAATTCAGTTTACTGAGATACTACTCGTCTATTTTGCAGTAACGGTTAGAATCAACGTCATTTTACGTAAATGACGTCATAGTAACAAGTATGTGTTAGCCAAACCTTGAGAAATGTTCCGACTTTATCGATTAACAGTAATTCAGGCCCTTAGATTGACTGATTGTTTGTTGTTTAACGCCGAGTCGGCAATATTTCAGCCATATTTCGGCGACATGTCCTAAGGATATTCCACATATACGACTAGGGAAGGATGGGCGGTTCGGACCCCCCTCTTTTTACTTGCTTCATTCATATAAATAAATGACGTCGGACCCTTCAAGAAGCACGGATCACATACGGGAGTGTAAAATATATAAATAAAAGTGCCCCCCCCCCTCCCTCTCGCTTCATTAAATAGGATTTTGTGATAAGAGGATTTTCCCCTTGTAAAAAATCTAATTCGGGTATAATATGGCCGTAGGAACCGGGGGGGGGGGCGTGCCCCCCCCCCCCAATAATTGC